CCAGCTGGGAGGACGGCCACCCGGCCGCTTCGCCCGTCCCCCAGGGCCTCCTCCCCTGCGCCTGCCAGCACCCTGAGGCGCTGATGAGCGGGAAGAGACCAGGTCTGAACTCCGGAAAATCCACCCTGGATGAGTGCTGCCAACCTGTCAGGTATTCACAGCGGCCACAGCTCTCCCAAAGGGGCCTGAGAAACCCCCGACTCTGCGCTCATACCAACCGGGGAGGACTCTGTTTCCCAAAGAAGGGCAGGCAAGTGGCATTCAGTTCTCTATCGACCCTTATTAATTCATCCTCATTAGCACAAGAGGAGCCTTTGGGTTTCCAGGACGTGCTCGTACTGGCCTGCCTCTCGGTGCGCAGCCATCGCTGCCCGGGCACAGCCGGCAGAGGCTCTCCTGCGGGCGTCCGGCCCCACGAGAGCCGGTGTCGCCTCTTGGGGAAGCAGCGAGGCTACGCAGGCCTCAGGTCACGTACTAAGCGTGCGGTGCCGACACTTGCCTCCTAATCCAGCGCTCGCACTAAGCCGCTCAACGCCAGCTCTTTGAAGTAATCCTCCAGCTGGCCCGAGCCCAGGACCGGGCTCCCAGAGCAGGGGCTGGGATGGGGGCCCCATCCCCGTGCGTTTGCTGCCCAACTAGCAATGCCGAAGCCTTGGGAAGCGGAGATTTGCCTGGCATCGTGCATCCATGGTCTGTTAGATACACACCTCTTCCCAGTCCTTCACAAACACAGCAATGCTTTCTGATATAGAATGTGTGTGTGTTAGGCAGAGCTTTCTCTTCAATTCCCCAAAGAAAGGTAAAGATGGGAGAACGTGGGACTGCAACCTGAACCTGTTCTGCCTTGCAAACCCTTCAGGCCACGTTCAGCATCCCATCACAGACTGACATTTTAATTCCCTTCAAAATCAGTGAAAAGGAAGAAAGCAATCTCCTGGGCCTAAGTTCAGCCACTCCGATGGCTTCCAGCTTCCTTCCGGCAGCCTGATGCTCCCATGCAGGGAAAAGCTCACCTTCCCGGCTGAGTACAAGTGTCCACAGCTTTCTCAGAGCTTCAGCAGCAGCAGGCTGATTGAAACCAATTTCATTACTCGCTAGTGATGGGGACGTAATATAACCAAGTGTCATGTTTCCCCTACCCTGAGGGGAGAATGAATTTGTCTTTAAGAAATTGGAGCAAGTCCTGGGGAAAGCAACTGGGAAATTTGATAACATTCTGCGTAGCTGAAACACCTTATGGGAAACTGCAGGACTAGGCTTATGTTCTTATTTCAATCCCATGGAAAATTCTAATCCTGTCAGACTGAAGTGTGAACATTAGGGGCAGGAAGCCAAGGACATTGCTGGTGAGCGGATTACAAAGCACATCTTGGTTTTATTGCTACCTTCTGCACAACAGTGGTCTAACTCACACCACTGCAGTGTCAGGTACGTGACTGTACCTACTACTTAGAGTAGCTATCATGAAAGATAAGCAATGATTAATTAGAAGAGCTACAGTAGTTTTGCTATTGCCCACAGAATCCCGAGCACAAATCAATTCTAGGATCAATGCCACTATTTCCTGTTATTTGGCCAAAATCGTTACACGGAGATCAGTTCCTCGCGTGCACTACCCACTGCCCCTCAGGGCTCCGCAGGTAGCTCAAAGAGGACAGATCTGAGCAGTGGTAACTTCTAACAAGGTGTTAATGACGAGTGGTGCTGGGGTGGCACTGTTAGTGCTTTTGCATCGCAGCTAGACAAGGAAGAGAACGTTTGTCCACAACCTCAGGGACTCGAGAGTAAATTGCTCACAAATCTCAGTGTTGTAGGAAAAGAGTCAAATGCAAATCAGCTTCATAACGACTAAAACATGATATAACCTAAAACAGCCAGTGCCTCCACTCACACCAATTTTGGGGGGTAGTTAACAGCTCAGCCAGTACATACCTATAGCCTCCTTAACATTAGCAGTAAATTAGACTCGCAAACTGCCAGTGTGTTACTAACGCACTCAAAATATAGCAATTTATGACTACACAGCAATTTTAACAAGCTAAATTGTACCACATCCTTTACCCCAAATGATTCATTCACAAAGAATGTACAGGGACAGGGACATCGCTGACTTTGCTTTTCAGAACGAAGCGTTTACAGGAAAGGTACAACTTGCAAATATCAACATAGAAAGTATATTCATACTCAACCAATCAGTAAATCAAAACAAATACCACGAGAGGTCATAAGCCTGAGCTCAGGTAAGTAACAAAGCCTAAATTTGGTTATTCATGATAGGTCCCACCATTACCTATCTTCTTTTTTTCTTTATCCTGTGGATTTAGCTGAACAATGAATTGGAGTAATTCTCCTACCTGTTTGCTGTAATTCACCAGATGGATTAATTCACTGTGAACTGTTTACTCAGCTTTAGCCAGGAGGGAGTATATTTGGAGGGGGTGAAGCGGGGGAGGAAAACCCTATGGTATTTGCAATTTTTCAGGAGCAAACCTTTGAAGGGGAATTAATTAGACTGGTAACTATAAGTGGAATGGAATCTGCCCATATACAGCTAGACACAAAGTCTGCCTCATTTTCCAACCTAGCGGTTCATTACCCAGTCTACAGGTTCAAACCTTATTTCCATTTACATACACAATTATTTGCCAGGAAAAATAGCCATGGATACAAAAATAAGGCAATCTTGTTGCCACTGCAATGAAAACCTTTCCTTCTCTGAATCACGGTTCTCAGACTTCTCAGCCATTAGCTCATCCTAGACTGTTATAAATTGCTTTCAGGTGGGGGACAGAAGCAGGATATTAATCCCCCTAACTTACCGGGTATAGTAGGAATCCACACCTAGGGCCTCTCGCACACTGGAGATGTACAATTCCAGTGCTGAGTTTGTTACTGTTTGCAGGGCCGCGCTGCTGGCTTCATGGAAGTCCCCAGGATTCTCTGTAAGGCTGTCACCCAGATAATACTCGTGAAACTTCAGGATTCCTGCAAGGCACCAATTCATGAGGTTATTGCTGCAGGGCAGGGAGAGCGCTGCTGGCGACTGCCCAGGAAAGTGGTACAGCCCCTAGCATTTGGCAACTCCAGTGCAACTGGGGCAAAGCAATCTGTGCCATGTCTCCACAGGGCTTTTACAGCATTCTGTATTACCGCTTTGCTTTTAAAATCTGTTTTTGTACTTTGCAGATGATGGCTCAAAGGTATGAAGGCTGAGCAGTGCTTTTATGAGATGCTCAGAAGGCACTTGCTATTGCAGCAGCCTCCTATAAATTATAAAACAGATGTTTCTCACAAGCATCTACCACGGTAATATACATTTCAATAGCCGCACATGAAAAATATCTATTAATATTCTCTGATCATATAAATTGAACACACAAGGCTGAGCAAATGCTGAACAAAAACGTTATTACTACAGCAGAACTTCCTCATGTCGCAGGAAGATTGCATTCCACTCATATGCATGAAAATACATACAAATTAAGAAAAAGGCGGCTAGATGCATATTAAAATATTAAAAGTTAGCATTTCACACTAGGCAAAACAGATAAAGGGCACCCACTATTTTGGCAAGAATTACTGCAGATAAAACCTTCCTCCACTCAGACTAGCATATCCTTCCTGATATGATTAATTTTGCAGTACCGCTGCCTGTGATTAACAGTAAAAGGCTGCTCTGGATGCCCCATTTGCATTGACAACATAAATTATTAAACCTGCTAACAAGAGGAGGGGAGTAAAGAATAAAGCAACCCGTTCGGCAGCAGTATTGGCAAATATAGCAAAGGACCCAGCTAAGAGGCTCCGAGGGCACAATCCCAGCGGGGTAAGGAGGATCCTGGGCTATCACTGAAACTACTCTCTCCATCTGCATCAAGGGAACTGAGAAGAAATCAAGGAGACTGTTTATGGAGCCTGGCGGAAAATCTCGTACTTCTGATCAATATAATTTTAGTGTACTCAATTTGATCTCAATACTATAGAACTACTGGCATTTTGCTGTGCAAACACAGGACTAAAGAGCCAATTAGTGCCTGGATGCATGGCAGGATGACACCATCTTACCCTTACACACGCACTATTGGAAAATACCCCAAAAAACACATCTTCCAATTACTATTATCCCATCTGAAATCAGGCGTTTGTGAATGCTTGCTTCCCTTCCCAAAGCATTTCTGGTGCAATTTAAATTAGCGCTTTTTATCTCTTTAGCTTTGTCATGGTGAAGGGTTACAATTATTAAATTATATCCAGAAAGAACTCATGAGAATTTACAGTCATCACTTTATTAGATAATGAACAACATCTGCCTGCAAAAAGCAATCCTCTTCAAATTAATCCTCCCTGCTCCTCTGTGATAAGTATTTCCACATTCATATGAGGAGAACTCAGAGAATCAGGCAGTTCAGTGGCATAATCAGGATGCAGGGACACCCTTCTGCTCTCTGGAATCCACTTCAGTGAACAAATGTCAAAAGCTTTTGCAGGTATAAAGCACAGAAATGTAATTAAAGTAAGGATTCTTATGCATAGAAGATTCTTGCAGAGCCAACATACTTGGAATCTCATTACTGCTCTGCACTGCCCTGTGGGAAAGGCATACAGAGTGGAGGTTGAAATACAGAAATATTAAACACCTGAAGCACTTCCATCTCCAGGTGAATGTCAAAGCCCTGAATAAGCACTTCTATCTGAATATCGCCATGGCTATACTACAGTTGCCAGTCTCCAGCTCCAAGGCACTGAACATATTCAAACCAAAGGACTCCATCCCACATTTGTTCTGGTCCCAGATTTATTCCTAGCTGCAGGATTCTCCCTTTGTAAGGCTTGCTCATAGGCTCTCACCTTAGAAGGGATCTTACCTGCCCCAGGAGCCAGCAGCCAGCTGTACAGATAACCTGCAGCCAGTGAGTAGTAGAGAACAAGTCCCCTCTGTCCATTCACTGTCTCCAGGACCTGGTCAATGGTGACTGGAGAATAGGGATCAGAGTCCTGCTGCCCAGTCTGGCGTTCCACAAGCAGATCAGCAAAAGCCCTTGTTCGTCCTCTCTCTGCCACAGCCAAGGCTTCGTCATGGTGACCTGAAAAAAAGAACTGTACATCAGCAGACAAAGCTCGCTCTCAGAGCGCACACTAACGTGGTCTGCACTGCAGAGAAACAGGGACAGCTATCATCCCAACCCATCCTAAAACCCAAGGAAGCAACTAGGCAATAAGTAACTGTACTTATTTCTGGAAACAGTGGTCCTTGCACTGGAATGCTATCCCACAGGTCATCTTGGCTGCAAGCACTCACATGATTTATGGGAAAATGAGTTGCAGAAAGGAAGGTGAATGGAAAAGGAAGCAAAAAGTCCCTGCAACCCAAAGCAGGAGATCCCTATTCTTCTCTTGGCAAACAAATATCATCCTGCCTGGGGCAAGCAGGGAGTGAAGGGTTTATTGTGCGCTGCATCCCTGGGGCTTCGATCAACCTCTGGCGTGGACTGGAGCTCAGAGTCTTAGCGTTCGACGGCATCTCTTACCGAGGCTGACAAGCACTCGCTGCAGGGCCTGATAGGAGGACGTCTGCAGGTCGAAGAGTGATAGCTTGTAATCTGTACTCAGCTGCACCTCGTGTCGGATGGTTTCAAACAGCGCCGAGGCCCGGTAAAGCTGGGAGGAGAAAACAGCCATGGTGACTCTTAGCCTCACAGACACAGCACACGCCACTGGCTGTGGGAGCAGGAGGGTCTGACACCAACATACTCTCAGGCAGGGGAGGTCTGCCCCAAACAGCCACGCAGGGTGGCAGCATCCCTGGCGGAGGGGAGGTCACTTTGGAGCAACTTGAGCCAGGGTCGAGCAGAGGCCAGGAGCACTCAACTACCAACACTTTAGTTTAGGGCAGATGCAAAACAGGTGAAGTAAGGCATCCTCGGGAGCTAGAACCAAATCAGCACAGTGCCAGAGCAATGCTGGCATGAGGCATCGTGCAAGGAGGACCTAACACAGGAGTCCTGGAAGTGCACAGAGCTGCAGTGTCCCCAGGATGCACTAGACATTTCCTCTCTCGAGGACAGAGATGACCTGGAGGACTTTGAGAACACAAGCCAGCAAGCACGGGGCAGACCACAGCGTACCTGGTGTTGAGACTCCTCCAGGTTCCCACTCGCCCAGAGGGAGAGCCCCAGGCCATGGCGGATTTTGGCTTCATCTTCTCTGCGACCCAACTGCTCTGCCAGCCTCAGTCCTGAAAAGGAACCAGTGAGTGAGAGCCAAAGGAAAAGTTGTGGCTTCTGCACCAGGGTGAAAGCACTTCTCTTGCCTCAGGAGCCTAGCTGGGCTGCCAGCTCACACAGGAGCCCCTAGGGGCCTCCAGGGCTTTTGTCCTAGGCAGCGGTAACTGCTGAGATGCAGACCCCTGACGAGGGCAGTGGCTGCTTTGTGCAGGTGCACTAACGCACGAATCGGCACCAGCACCAGAGATGCCTAAGCAAGCAAGACAGCGCCTGGAAGTGGGGGAGCACAGACCAAGACCTGCTCCAAGCTAGGTTAAGGAGCAGTCCCCTGAAACACACCTAGTAAGCCCCAGCCAGGAAGTTCAAACCTTAAAAGCCCTATAGACAATCAAAATCACACTAAGCTACAAAGGCTGCTGGAGAAGGGCTCTCTTACCCCATTATTTGCTCATTTCCCACTAGCCCTCCCCAGCTGCTCCTCATGGGAGCAAGGTTTATTTACTGAGTGAGAGCAGAGGTTGGATTCTGATGTGAACTACCTGGAGTCTCACTTCACCTCCAACAGCTTCCTCTGTGTCATCCACCATCCCACTATGCTTCAAACCTCTCACCTCTACGGGCCCTCATGTTCACTGCCAGGTTTTTACAGACTGGGAAAGAGAGGCCCTAGCCATGACTGCAAAGCTCACCAGCAGCTAGCGTTTAGAGACTCCTTTCAGGAATTTTACGTCACATCAGCAGAAGGAGCTGTATTTAATTTCTCCCTCTCCAATTTAATTGAACTTCCTTAGCATATTGGAATCCTGCCAAGATCAGGTTCAGGAAATCCTGACTAACTGATGTAATTAATCTTGCAGCTTCCAGCCTCATACACTCAAGCTACGCTGCTCATCTCCATCAAAGAGCCACCACCTTGAACAGATGCTGCTTCTACACTGGGCTCTAGCTGCAGCAGAGGCTGTGGGCCGGTCCTGGGTAGGTGCTCAGCAGCAGGCAGATGGCTTCCAGATGCTCTGAACCACACCTACCTCACCTCCCCAGCCAAACACAAGGTCTTACCACTCACAGCTTAGAGGATACTCACCTTCCTGGTCTCATTCCCACTTTAGCTCAAAAGTAAAAGACAGGAGACTAACAGCAAAGCACAGCTCAGCACATATCACTTTGGGACTACTCTCAAGAATAGATGTGTCCAGCACAACCTGATGTGGCTATCCCCAATCCAATACCCGGTTTGCAATGTTATCGACAGAGAAGATTTACACTCTCTAGGCTCAGACACAACTGAGCTTTATAAAGCGGCTCCACGAGGTGCAGTCTGGATTCAAGCTCAGAGCTAGCTGAGAAGCCCCCAGAAGGCACAGACTGTGCTTTGTCCTCAGGATACCAGCAAAGCTCTGACTGATGTGGTGTGCCATCCATAACAACCTGGGCGGTGCAGCTGCTCACAGGGACATTCAACAACAGCTATGGATGTCTGCAGGAGCTTTTGCATCAAATGTCACTCTCAGACACATCTTTTAGTTCCACACTCACAGTACTTCATTTCTCTCCTTTTCTTCAGATCTCCCTCCTATTCCCCTGTACCTATCGTTAAACGCAGTGTTGGGTAATTCAGCCTCCTACCTTCTTGCAGGTACATCACAGCCTGAGAGTAGTTCTGCAAGGCATGATGAGTCCTCCCTAGACTGCTGTAAGACACAGTTTTGGCTACTAGGTCGTTCATTTGGGCTGCAATGCTGAGATGCTGTTCCTGATAAACAACTGCTCTCTCATATGTGCCCAAGGACTCATAGGTCAGGCCGAGGTTCCCGTAGGCCCGGCCTTGACAGGTAGGGTTGTTGGTCTCTTCCGCAATCTGCAGGTCTAGCTGGTGATACTGCAGGGCTGTGTCATACTCTCCCATTTGCTGGTAGACTCCACCGAGGCCACAGGCAGCATCGCTCTCCAGAGCTCGGTCCTTCATCTCCCGAGCAATGTTTAGCTGGCGCTCCAGGCAGGAAATAGCTTGCTCATAGTTCCCCAGCTGGCTGTGCAGGCTTCCCAGCTCCCCATAAGCCTGGGCTTTGTTAAATGCCTCCCCCAATTCATGTGCCACCACAAGCCGCTTCTCAAAGCACACCAGAGCCTGCTGCAGACTCCCCATAGCCCTACAGGGAAAGAAAATAGCAGTATTTATTTTAACGATACTTGCTTGAAAAAAAATAAAAGTGTTGTCACTTCCTCCAGAGGCCTCATCTCCACGGCCAGCTCAAACCTTTCAGATATAGTCAAATGTTTCCCTAAAGAACCATCCCCAGCACCTTTGAATCTACCTCCTTCCTTTGCTACCCTATAAACTCCTTGCTTTAAGGGCAGAACAGCGTCCGCTTTATTATTTGAGACAGTAGCACAGAATAAATCACTTTCTTCTCGGCATCCAGAAGAGACTGCTATTTAGTCCTATGCCACATCCCCACGCATGTGTTAAAGGGCCACATGAACACATCCCATCAACAACACAGTGCGTTCACCTGTCCTTGTACTAGATATCAACCTGTCCCACTCCCCCCCCCCCCCCCCCTTTGGTGGTGAATGACATATGCGAGCCTGCACTCCTCTGCCTGGCCCAATCTCTACCACACATCTGCACAGCCCCTTAAAAGCTGTCCAAGTTCCCCTTTTAATCCACCTGCTGTATGCACACTTCATGCTTACAATCTACATCTCCCATCCCTTTGCACTCAAGCCCATCCCTATTCACATTTGTGCACTTCCCCACACCCCCTAATTAGCATGCACCCTTCCCCACGCTGTGTATCAGTGGTGTCCTGTGCTGGTGCATAGGCAGAGGCCTTCATCTCACATTGCAGAGGGTCTGAGACATGCATCTCATGCACCTCCTTCTCTAGCACACCTGTACTTTCCCTCTGCACACACACACACACACCCCCCCTGCAGGTCCCATCCAATGAACACACGTGCGTCCAGTAACTGCCTCTCCCCTATGTGCACATCCATAAAAGCCTACTGGCTTCCCATGTCTTCATGAACTCCGGCACAACTCACTGTTCGGAGCCTGAACACCAGGTGGGCTCAGAGGCACTCACCGGACCAGGGCCACACAGGCTACGCGCAGCCTGCAACACTTGGCACGACTGAACAACAGTTGCCTTTCTGGGTGCTTTCACTCATCTCATTGCATTGTTTCTCATTAGAACGCATAATTCAGCACTCCTGCCCCACACGCTCATTACCTGTGTCCATTGCCCAGGCCCCGGTAGGCCTTGGCCTGATCTTGCATACGGTTCAAACTTTGAGCCACAGACAGGTACTGTTCATAATACTTTATAGCTTCCTCAAAATCTCCCAGAGCTTCATAACAATCTCCCAGGTTCCCATACGCTCGGCCTCGATCTAACACAGATTCATTCCCACTGAGCTGCTGCAGCATGGCCAGCTGCTGTTCAAAGTAGCCAATAGCTTCCTCCATGACGTTCATGTTCATCTTGGTAATGCCCATGTTACCATAGACTTGGGCTTCTATGCTGGGGTCCTTCAACTTCTGCCCAAGCTCCAACTGTTCTTCATAACACTTGAATGCCATGGTGTACTTCCCAAGCGACATATACACTGCAGCAAGGTGGCCGTGTGCTCTGCATTCACCTGGCATTTCTCCCAGCTCCTGGTACACCTCCAGCTCTTGCGTGTGGTAGCCTAAAGCCTTGTCACACTTCTGAATCATCCTGTATGCAGAGCCCAAGGCTGCATAGGCACTGGCTTCCAGTCTCCTGTCTTTAACATGATGGGCTAAGCTCAACTGCTGCTCATAAAATTTTATTGCACCATTTACATCTTTCTTACAGACAAAAATATCCCCCAAGTTCCCCAGAGCTCGGAATTTGGCCTGGGAATTGTTCAGAGACTGGGCCAGGGACAACAAGTACTTTTGACACTCCTCTGCTTTGCTGAAGTCCATCAAGGCTTTGAAGGCCAAGCCGAGGTTGCAGTATGCTTTGGCTTGGCTCAGCTTGTCATGAAGATCCTTTGCTAAGGCAAGATCCTGCTCATAATACTTTACAGCTTCTTCATAGTTCCCAAGACAGTAATGGGCATAGCCAAGGTTATGACAAACTTTCCCCTCCCCTTCCATGTCCTGCAGCTCTGGGGACAAGCGCAGGTACTGCTCATAGTAAGGGGCTGCCTGCACATACTCTCCTCGTGAGCAGTGGAAGTTACCCAAATTGCTGAGGGCCCGTGCTTCACTCTGGATGTCTCGCAGTTCCCGGGCAATGTTGAGGTGATTTTGGTAGTGCTGCAGAGCACGGTCGTGAGCACCCAACGCTTGATAGGCAACTGCTAAGTTCCCATGTGTGGATGCCTGAGAGGCACGGTCATTCACTTCCATAGAAATCTGCAGCTCCTGCCGATGGTACTTGACAGCCTGGTCATACATGCCCAGAGCATTATAAGCATTGCCCATGTTGCCATAGGCCCTGCCCTGGGCAGCGTAATCGCTTAGCTCCTGAGCTATGGACAGGTGCGTCTTATGCAGCCTCAGTGCAGTATCATAGTCGCCTTTCATCTGATGGATGATTCCTGAAGGGGGGGGGGGGGGGGGGGGGAAAACCAAAACAGAAACAGGTTCAACAAGAACATTCCTCCACACTAACCCTTCCACTTTGCTATGCTAGGACTTTTCTGCAACCCAGCCCTGGGCACTCATGCTCCGGCCCTTTCTCCATACCCTCAACACCAGCCAGCCCCATCTTTTCCCCACTGCACCCTGACAGACAACCAGCAGAGCTGACACAGAACAATCTTTCTCAAACGAGCAGGCTCCTAGCTCTGGACAGGCAAATCCCAGAGAAGATTTTGTATTACATGCGAAATGCATGTTCACCACAACAACTGGACAGTTTGACCTTATACAATGCCTATTCTCTTTCCGAATTATGCTACTTTTTTTTTTCTTCTGCAGTGATACCTGGATACCTGGTGACTCTAGAACTCCACATTCAAACAGCACATGGCGCGAAAAAGCATTTGTCTTTCACTGAAACCTTCATCTACTTGTTACGAGACATGGGAATAGCAGCTCTGAATCTAATTTCTGTGCACGATGTAGTATTTTGTTATCTTTTTTCTCATATCCTCCATTGCTAAAGTCACCCTGCGGCAACAATCCTAATACAATCAATCCCTCTTCAAAGGAGGATTTTTCCACACCTGAAGTACTTATCCCTACATGCCCTCTAACTCTGTAGTATTCACCTGGAAACAGTTGATCATTATGGCACACAGTACTCAAGATGAAGGCCAGTCATCAGTTTACCTAACTGCTAGTTTGTGTTTGCTCTGCTCTGCTCCTCGTACTGCTTATATCCTGTTTTTTTCCTGACTGCAACTTCAAACTAAACGCCAGCATATGGAGACGCATGGTATCTCTCCACCCCCATTCACACAATACTACATTTTTCACCCAGAGCGCGGAGGGAAGGAGAAGGCATGCTGAATTCTGTACGAGAGGCCAGGCATGGCTCTAGATGCTCTGGACTCTTGTATTTGGGACTACAGTCTCCGCTCTCTACACAAAATCCAAAGAAAAACACCTAACGCTCACTCCCAAGGCCTTTATCTACTGACGATACAGACCAGCAAAGAGTGGTCTCTTAGGGAGTCCCTCCAGAAGGATAGAAAAGAAAACACAGCCCAGCCCTTCTTCCAAACGCCATGGCACAGTTCAGGTATCACGAATATCAATAACATCTTTGAGGTGTTGTGGGCCTTGCCACAGACCTCCACACTGGCAGAAGTCTACATGGAAGCTCAGAAATGCCTGGATGCTTTGGAGGCACAGCCTAATTCACTATGCTTGAAGAAGTAGGAGCAATAATTACAATAACCTACACTAAAGGTGTCTCAAAAAGGCAAGCATCTTTTCAACTGACCTGACAAAAATGAAAACATATATTGAATTACAGCTTACGCAGTACTGATCAACAAAGACCAAACGCGGCAGAACTTCTTGTCTGCACAACACGCTCTCATACAGCTGCAGCAGCCCAAGAAAGATACGGAGGTGCTGACTGGGAGATGCATCTCGCTGAGCAGATGTCACTAGAACATCTGTTTGCAGCACGAGTTAGAACTCCCACACTGAAGTCAATGCTGTGACTTGTGCACTAACGAAACCGTGCGTTTGCAGGACGTGTGGCTCCTTTGCTAACGCTCACAAACAGGCCTGGAGTTCCAGGTGCCACTGAAGGAGACACCGCACAGCACAATTACCCGATCCTGGAAGACAGCTTCAGGTCCTTCCCTGCCCTTACAACTTCCAAGTTCTGACTTCATATCACAACCAACATGAGGAGAAGAGATGTGGAGGGTCAGAAGGTAGCTGCCTTCCCCAGGCACCAGTAACCGCAGCACGCTGTGGCAAGCACCACACTTCAACCCCCTAATGTTTCGTACTCATGAACAAAAATGTGAAGACAGGCGGCTTTCCAAGTGAGGCTGGAACACGATGGTTAAAATTTGCTTCCCTGAAGCAATTTGGACCTTGCAGATTCATTTTTTAAATTCATGTAGGACTGAAAACCCAAGCTCCATTATGTGAACATGAAGCATTCTGGCTGGATTATCCGCATTTCTATCAAAGCAAGTTATTCAGAAATTCTACTTGCTTTTCTACTAACATGATGCTTCAGGACAAGGCAATTTAGAAAATACGAGCAGAATGAAATAGGATTGAAGTAATGGACACTTGGCTGCCGATGCCAATTCTTTCCTTCTTTCCCTCCCTCTCCCTGCACCATAAATTGTGATCAAAGCTACAGTTCTTAACATGAGGGGCTGGCTCCCCGGTGTCTTCAGTCAAGCTCCGAGCCAACTTCTGCCCCAGCTCTGCTGCGGCCCTGCGGCTCTGCTTGATCATCTTTCGCCGCTGAATCTCTGGCTGACACACGCTAACGCTTCCCTCCGGTATGGTAAGGGAAGGCAGCGGCAACAAGAATTGGCTAAATCAGCTAAATGACCTTCTCTACGCAGAGCTAAAGCATGCTGTAAGCTGTCAAAGACAACGTGAGTGTCTTTGACACTCCCTCTCCCACCCAGAAACACGGCTGCTCCGGGGCTCAGCGAGCCGGCCGCACTGCAGCACACGCAAATCTTAAGGGGAAAGCACCGACTTCTGCAAGGAACCACAGACAAAGTAATTACAAGGGACAGAATTGGATCTGGATGCTAAGCTAAGTAATTTAGAGTCTGCGGAAAAACAATTACTGCAGAACCGTCCCATTGCTTCAGAAACTATAAAAGATGGAAATTAGCTACATGTCTCCCCTTAAAACAGCCAGAGGTGCCTGAGCTGGAAGCAAGAAGCACCAACACTGCCTCAGGAGAGAGGCCCAAGCTCCCAAGCTCCCCAGCTCCGTTTCCAAAACATTTTGTTCTCCTTTCAGCCAACACCTCTCTGTGCCACGGCTCTGCATGAGCCTGTCCCAGCAGTGCAGGCAGCCAGGCCTTTCCTGGGGTGACATAATGCAGCAGGCCCCGCGTACAAGAGAGCTGAATACTTGGCTCACGGAAAACCACATCTGAAAAACCCAGGGTTTCCAAAATAAAGGGACTAGTAAACAGTCCCTAACCTCTTCTTCAAGGAGACAAGACACACAAACGTTCTCCGCCAGGGCCGCGCTCTCTCTCTCTCGCTCTCTCTCTCTCCTTTGAAGAAGCAGGTGTGGGAAAGCAGTCAGATGGCAATGACAATAAAAGGGATGGTGAGAACAGAAAACTGGTTAAAAGCAAACGGGGTTTTCTCTGACTGCCTAGACCTCTGCTGCTTTGATAAAATGTATTGTTTCCCGGACACAAAAAATGTAGTAATTAAATTTACCAGCACTTCAGTAAAGCACCTGATATTGCCTCACATGGGAAATTATTAATTAAGAGTCAGAAGGCAGAGATCAGGACAAACCTTACCTAATGTTTTTACTGGTGACTTTGGCACAAAGGAAATGAGCGCTACAGTGAGATCTGCTGATGAAACACAGCTAAGAAGCACAACCAGCACAGAGGAGGACAGGATTATCATGCAGGAAAGATTGGACAAACCTACGTACTAAAGAAGCAAGAATGAGGTGATGAAATTCAACACTAAAGTGCAAACACACGCACTTTAACAACAAGAATTCCTACTACAAGGTAGGGAGTCATCATCTGACAACAAAGAAAAGGATCTATGCAGTTCGTTTATGTGTTTCCACTAAAGAAAGGTAAACGTGAGGCTTGACTGGATGCAGAAGAGCTATGCAGTTTATAGAACAAAGGTGGTGCAACCACGCCAGGGGCACAAACCCTAGAAAAAGTTTCTGACTGTCAGAATGGTGAGGTCTCAGAACAGCCCTACAGTAGGATAGTAAAGCAAACAGAACGTTACTGTCAAAACGGTACTTGGTATTAGTACTACAATACGGCATGTGCAATAGCAGGGGGCTGGATCCAATGCCTCAGGAGGCCCCCTCCAGCACTCTCAGATTACTCACACTCCTCTGGTAACCCTGAGCTTCACTAGCCTTGAGATGGGCATCCCTCTCTTGCCACAAAGTTCACCTCCTTATTTCTCCATCTCCCTTGGACCATATCTCTGGCAGCATTAGGGGATGTTACTCTTATTTTGGCAAACCCTCCCAGCTGGCTGAAGAGAGGGGGAAAAATCTTTGATATCCAAGGTCATTTAGGAGGCCCTACTGAGGAGGCAGGATGCCCCAGCTGCCCCAGCTCAGCCTCAAAGCTTAAGCACCCTGAAGAGACTCCATTTCACTTTGAGGAAAAAGAAGAGCCAGCGCATAGCAGTAACCATTAAAACACCATGAGCTCAGGAGCTGTGGTCCCAGGGCAGGAGCGCTGCACGGTGGATGGAAAGCAACGCCAGTGAGAAGGGCTGTGCTCACTGCGGCCACCCCAGCCTCTCTCCCACCAGATGGGGGAACAGCTGGCAGAGGAAGAGCACTGGGGACAGTGACAGACTCCGACATGAAGACTCTCTCACCGACACTTCATGCTGTACTGGAGGATAGATAAGAAAAGGGGTTTCTGGGGCTGGAGATGATAGGAGTTCCTGCCCTAGGACATCAGCCCCTTCTGTTTCACCTGACAGAGACAGAAAGTGAGAGAAGTGAGAGAAGAAGATGAGGAGTCAGATGCAGCCCATGGCTTTGAAAGGTAAATCAAGTCGTCAAATTTAAACCAGAGGTTGGAGTAGCAGGTTACTAAAGCAGAGGCAGGGCTGCAAGCCTACAAAGAGGCTATGAATGGAACTTCACCCTGAGCACCATATCCACAGAAATAGTTGCTGCGTGTCACAAGCCCAGCTCAAGCAGACTCCCAGAATTTCATCCAAAAAATCAAGGTTGCTCTTGGGAAGGAAAAAAAAAAAAAAAAAAAAACCTGGCAACAGACCCTATACAGCATCTCCTGGTACGTTTACATTAATCACCAGTAGTGACTACAAAGGACAGCCCAGGGAGGGGAAAGGCTCTCACTTAGACACCCAAATCACCATCTACCGAATATATTCTCTCTTTGTGCATTCCTGACGGACAAAACTGAGGTTCACAGACGGATGAAAAATGACGCCTTCACAGTTCTAAATGTTTTAGTCAGCCTCTTTACTGCCAAGAAAGTAGAAAAACAGTGAGCAAATATTTACCAGGAAATACCCGGGACAAAGCCAAGCAAGTGGCATAATAGAACAAAGCTGTGCTCTCCTTGTCCTGGAAACCTGCTATTGCATTAATCGGCTAGAGCTGTCACTCATCTGTGCTGGCCACATGAGGAAAAAGGAGCTAGAAACACGCTGTCATTCCAAAACATCAGTGTGCTGACCTATTCTTACAGCTACTATCACTGACTTCAAAGTAAAGGTTAGTCTTCTGCCCAGGCAGCTGGCTGACCAGACTATACTCTGGAACAGCACACAGAGGGGATGGCAGGATAGATCCAAATCCAGAACCTAGCAGACATGAGGCAAAATGCTCGGAGATAGCCTTTATTGCCTTACACAGCATAAAGCAACACAAATGGCACAAGTGACATACATTCACAAGTTCTTTTCCTTTAATCATCTTAATGATGATTACAGTTGGGCCATGTACTGGGCAGCCATTAATCTGTATAAGACAGCAGCAAAAAAGTCATACCAGTTGTGCTCTGCTTATGTGAATCACTGATTTTTCAATTCAGGCAACAAACTGGGAAAGGGATAGGGAACGTCTCAGACTAATTCTGGGTCAAAGTATTTGGGCTTCCCGTGCTAGAGCCAGGCATGAGGTTACAGCAGTGGTGAAAGGGACCTCTAGTATGACAAAAATCTCTGCACAAATTCTGAAACCAGAGATTGTTTGCACTTTCTAAATCTTGACATTGACTTTTTGTGTTTTATTTCATTTCAGGGTGAGTTGAAAAATAAACAGAACAAACATCATCCAAAAGAATTTTAAATGTGTTGAAGTACAAACGCCTGAAAATACTTTTTCTTAGTGAAAAAAAACTTTCTTCAAACAGAATCAGAATCTCATCCTTATATCACTGTACTTACACAGTGAGTTTGCTATGATAATTAAGAAAAATGAATATTTTCTTGAGCTTACCAGAGGATAATCTTCCCTCAAACCATGCATGCTGACCACGCATCTTCCTCCCTCTGCCCGCACCGGCACCCGCTGCCCAGAGAGGCAGCACTGACCGCTCAGCGGCGTCACAACTTCAGTGTCTGCCAGGGCGTATTTGACACAAAGCCTCTACCCATATGTGATGCACAGCATTCACTTCGAGTTTGTTCAACACAGTATTTGGGGACTTGAAATTATTAGCAATGAAAACTAGTCTAAATTTTCTAAGTTTTCCTTTGCTTTCCAAATAAAGCAAGGCCTCAGAGAGTAACTGAAGAATACACACCTTTCCTGTGATACAGGCAGCCCATTCAATGTTTTTGAGCAGCGAGCACATGAAGATACACATGGAAGTTCTCTCATAATTGCAAATGGATCACTGAGGGAGAGACTTTAAACCATGTTTTGCTAATAATCTCAAGTATCCTCTCTACATTACAATAAGAATTCTTAAGAGCTGCAGAGGCTGAAAAGCCAGCTCTCTGCATGGAGCCTTGGAATCTGAAAACACCATCTGCTTTGCAAAGGTTGACAGTCTGAGACTTCTGGTTAAACTCCAGATCTCCTTGTTGTGAAGGGCTTGATAACTTGCGACTTGCCCTCAGTCCATTACCTTCTGCTTACTGAGTCACAGAGCATATTATATCTCCCTGCAGAGCGCTGCAGCAGCTGGGCTATGTTATATTCTGTGTCTGTCTTGCTCAGCATTAGATAATACACTTAAGAGAGCTTTCCATCTAAATCAGGGAAAGGCAAACAGAAAATTTCTGTTGTTTCAGCAAAGAGGCCAACTCTAACATTCTAGCTTGGAAACACACATTCAGATACTTTTTTTTTTTTTTTTTTTGGCCTGTCAGCATGGTTATTTTGATGAGGTTTTGTTTTGCATGTGGACCAGATGAAAGAGACAATTAAGACTTGGCTTTTTAATTGGTAGTGGATGCATTTTAAGCAACAGTAATAGACTTTCTCAACAAGTACTGCATGTTCTCTTTTCCCAGTGTTAACTTAACTCTGACAGAGAGGACATAAAAATGCAGCCAAATAGCAGCCGAAACGTGAGATCCTGCACTCAGAAGCTAGGAAAACTATTCTAATACATAGTGTAGAGTGGCTGAATCAGCATACCAACTTAAAGTTATATTTAGGCTTAAATCCAATACAAAAGAAACATTCTCTGCTGCAGCAAAACTCTTTCCAATTTTATGCAAAAATTTCTGGAATCGCATGATGAAAGCGCCGTTAAATCCAAAGCCGGTGTAAGATTCATAATCACATCAAGATGAGCTCTCTAGTCCCACCTCGACTCACTGGCTTTGAGCCAGCAAAATGGTGAGAGAATTAAAAATACAAGTGAGTACACCTGAAGGCTGAGGAACAAAAACAGCTTGCTTCCCTTTGTAGCAGCACTTGTTCCCTTCCGGCATGAGGCAAAGCAATTACCGGCAAAAGCAGCACTTGCAGAGAATTGCTAAAGCCATCTCTTTTCAGTATTTCTGTACCAGTTTTTGGGGTTTTTTTTTTTTTTTTTTTAAACTCACGATGCTCAGTAACACAGAGTCAGAGTATACTGAAAGCGTGGGCAGTTAGAAGAAATGCCATAGAACTTGAATTAAGCTCTTTCCTCCAGCGAAAGAGGTGTGCTCTGCCGGACGGCAAAGGCCTCACAGAAACGGGAGGAGACCACACAGACAACCCAGGACTGCTCACCACTCCGGAGCAGGGAACAAAACGAAAAACCAAAAGACAGCTCCTCCTTCCCAAGGCTGCAGTTCCGGGATCTGGATTTGCTCAGGAGTGGGGAAAATTCTCCAAGAAGCAGTGTGTGCTCCAGGGAAGAGGCAAACGAAAGCACTTCGGGACCGGAGGTTTGTCAATGCTGCTCAGCATAGGTTTCCTCCCCATTTTACTGAGATGCTCGCAATCAAACACAGCTGCGTGACAGCACCCCAACACGTCATCTCCCAGTAATTAAGCATGCCCAGCCGCCTTTGCACGCTCTCTCGGTCAGCTTCCACTGGAAATAAAAACATGAAGATAAATTTCATAGCAAAAGGAGCTCTCCCTCAGTCCTGACCACGAGCTGCAAAGCCAGTGTGTCCCCTGAGCGCAGCCAGAGACTTCCTCTGCTCCCACCTCTCCCTGCTCCCAGCCGAGAAAACTCGAGGTCCCATTCCTCCAGGTGGACCCCTCTGTCCCTATTACAAACCACAGATTCCCCACGTTCCCGCGCCTCCCCAAGGCCACCCCATCCTGGCAGCGTGTGGTGGGATGTACTTAGTGCTCTGCTAGACGCAGCTGTTGTTGTACTTTGCTGAAGCCCTTATATAAATGTTAGGGAAAGACAGATGCAGATTCGTCCTCCCAACGCTCTTGCCTTCTGGGTGCTCTGTCACACACAGAAATGGTATCAATGCTCAGCGCTCCCTAACGTTCAGCGCCCCGCAGGGGCTCTTGTCTCATAAACCTACTTTGCCTCACGTTTGCCATAATTTGTGTAAAGGAGGAGGAAATTCGAAACACTAATTAGAAAGCCAGGACTGTTTTGTTTTCTCCAGCTCACCCTATCTTCTTCATTCAGCTCTTGAAGACTCAGCTATTAAAAGAAATTAAGTAATTCATCAAGCCTATTTCAATTACCTGCTGTTGATAACATCAGAGTACAATTAGCATCTACAAATGAACCAAGTGCCAACTGCCAGGCAGAAACAGAAGCTAATTTACAGTGTGGGGCAGCCTGCAAGAGCTGAGATTCAGGCACTGCCAGCAAACACATATTTCATCATACCAACAACAGCTCTGTTCTGCCACTCCCACCACAGCTTACACACACCCAGCTGAGAAGATTTACAGCCAAAAAACATCCTTAAGTACAGCCAGAACATCAGCAGTGCAGAGTCCCACATGCCAAGAAACAAATGCTTCTTTGGTCTTCTCCACACCCAGCACTATGAAAAACAGGAAGGGACATCTCTCTACACTACACAATTCAATTCTTCCTAGCCTGCCAGCAGGATGCCAATGTCTCTCCTCAGAAAAAAAATATGATCCCTAAACTCTATGACTTTAATATGCACGTTCCGAAAACGAGCTTAGTTAGGATTTGACCCACGTGTCACCCAAGTTACGAGGCAGCAACATGCTGACATGCCCAGCTGACGAGGATCCCAGACAAATGCCCAGGTAATAAACCACGTCACTCCTTGCCCTAGTGCAAGACTTCTTACATTTCCTTCTGACACCTGAATAGCTCTACCTTCTCATTGCCCTTCTGCCTTAACCTTGTGTGTCCTGATACCTTTCTGAGCAGGTTAGTAATTGAACATGGGATGCATTACAGTAGTACGCAATCTGTCAAGTGCCTGTTTATTTTATGAAGACAGACAGACAGAGTCAGGGAAACTAAGAAGCTAGCACACAGCGAGCCTCCTGGACCCTGGCAGCAGCTCAAATAGTCACTGCGTTCTCTGGATGACAAATTCTGCTCCACATGAGGGCCTTACCTAGATTGGAGGAGGCTCTGCCTTCAGCAGCTCGGTCCTGCAGATTCTCAGCAATGTGCAACTGTTCTTCATGGTACTGCTTAGCCCTCTCCAGGTCCTGCATACATCTAGCTGCATGGCCCAAGCCAGCATAAGCTCGCATCTCAATGGCCTTCTCAGCCAGCTCCTGGGCCAACTCCAGCACATAGTTGTGGTAGGACATGGCTTTGTCGAAGTTCCTCCGGTAGTGGTAAGCACTGCCTAGGTTGCTGTAGGCTCGGGCTTCCTCCCGCTTGTTCCCCAGCTCCTTGGCGATCTTAAGATGCTGTTCATGGCATTGCACGGCATTTTCAAAATCCCCCATTGCAATGTACACTGCCCCCATGTTGCCCAGCTCCCGTGCCTCAGAGAGTTCATCTTTGGACTGCTTTGCAAGGAGGACGCACTGCTTGTGGCTAGCCAGTGCGTTTGGGTAGTCCCCAATGGCTGTGTACACATGGCCCAAACTGCTCAATGCTGAGGACGCTGCCTGCAGGGGTAAGAGAGAAAAAGTAAGTACAAGTCCTCATGGAAACAAGTCAGACGACCCCAGCCCAGTCCCAGAAATCACAGCCACAAAAGGCCACGCTGGAGAAAGACTGTAACTACCAGCTAGGAAATCTGCTCTCTGCAGCTTCTCCACACTCCTCAGGGCAGCTCAGGTGGAGGCAGCAGGGATGGGTTAACTTGGGAAAACCAGGCTAAGCGTGTCTGAAGATTGTCTCTTTCTCTAAAGCATACTGTGTGTGTGTGTGTGTGTGTGTGTGTACACCTGGTAAAGAGGAAGGAAGGCATTGCTAAGATACAGAGCCCAATGAGAAAAGAGAGAAAGTGGTGGCTGCAGAAAACTGCACCCTACCAGGAGCCGCTGCAGGGATGGATCAGTCTGCGCTGTCTCAGAGCAGCACTTCCCCCCACAGGCAGCCACTACTCAACTCAGGTCACCTCTCATAAATACTCTAACATCTGCATTCAGTCTTGTTAAAGCAAAGTCCTGCATATAGCCGCTCTTGAGAAAGTGGACAAATAATGATATTCAGCTGCAGAAAACGTTACAAAGGAATGCTTGCCTCGTTGGGTTTTCCACACCTCTACGCGCACGTCAGCGTGCCAGACTCCTCAGACCTTGCAGGCAGGTGCCAAAGACACCACCCTCAAAGAACAGCAGCAGAACACACACCAGAGTGACAGAAGCACTTTGTGTGCCAGGCTGCTCGGAGGAGACTACAGTCTGCAGTCTGGAGAATGAGATGGTGCTATTGCTTACCGTGCAACACAACCAAGCCAGTGTGCACTCACCAACTTCTTCACACACTTCTGCTTGGCCAACCACACTGTGCTACCAAGAGCACAGTTCTTACTGTGTGGCATCAGGGTTCTTGCAGCACAAAATCATTCATTACTGAGCCCCAAACAACCTCGGGACTGCAGCAAAGACAGCAGTACTTCAAACAGCTGGAGCCCCTGTTCCCCGGGGACATCTTAAATACATTGTTATTTGAAATCCTGAGTTCTTACCACATAGAAACAGCTGTATTTAACAAGACAAATACTATGAGAATCAGATTCTTCTGCCCACTGCATAGACCAGGACACAGGCTCTTTTTCCACCTGGCAGAGGCAGAACATGCACATCCAGAATGCAGGGCACAGAGCCCAAAGGCAGAGATGTGTTCCTCTGTCCACTGCACACCTGCTGCCTCAGCACGGCTGTCTGCTCTAAGCTGTGACCCCTAATCCTCCACAGTCCCTGCATATGCATTTCCTTTGCTACCCAGCTGCACCTGTGACCCATTTCCAGAGCAGCCATCTTCTCCAAACCTCCAGAGAGCACCAGACAGGGCGAGTGATTTCATGGACATTAGTCTCACCCCACCCCAGCACCACAGCTCAGGAAAGACCTGGTCCACCCTTCCACCTGAGATGGTGATATAGCATCTCAGGACACTGGTGCTCTCTCTTCAACATGGCATAACTCCATGCCACCAACAAAGAGGCAGTCTCACCTTCCTCCTGCCCTTGGCTGTGCGCTCCCATTGCATCCTTAGGCTAGCACTCCTGTTCAGGCAGCAGACTCAGAGCTAAAGGCTCTTCCTAAGAAGTCTCTTCTGACCAACTGTTCAAATTTCCTATCTCCCAATGGGCAAGATATTTGCACTGAGCCATGTGACTGAGGGAAAAGCCGTTCAGTCACAACACCAGGATGCAAGTAGGTAGGGTTCCTTCTGCTGTTCCAATATTTGGAAAGAAAGGCACATTCCTGTTTTCTGACTTCAGTCACTGGAGGGACCTTGTCTGGTATATCTCTACTTCATTTCGCTGCTGCTCCTCTGTTACTATGGCTTGGATTTCCCTCCAGCATGGCTGACACTGGTGTTTTTTGTCTAAGGAGCAAGCATATTTCCCTGTTCTAGCATATTTTCCCTGGTCTACGTGTAACATCCCTAGGCACAACACTAAAAGCTCTTCCATGAAAGAGGACCCCATTTGGTCAGCCCAACAGCTGAGGCTAAAAGCAGCCCATAGGTCAGCCAACAGCCATCTTCAATACGGACACTATGGCACTGCAGACAAGCTTCAGTACAGTCCCACTGACAAAGATACCACCCTAAGCCTAGGGAAATATAAAATGAGTTGTAAAAACTGAGCCTCCTGCTCACTCTCCTTGCCTTGATAAACTGATATATTCCTGCTTGGTCCCCACCTGCAGACTGCATATGCCCCACAGATGCAAAGCAAAGATTAACCTCTTCCTGGCCACACTATCTAGAGAGTAGGTATAAATGGAAAGCAGATGAGACAAATTCTTCTGTGGTAGGAGAGCCAGCTCAGCACCTCTCGTCTGGAACCATATCAGGCTGTTGATACAGCTTCCCCGCAGAAATGAGCCTTCCATGATTTTCAGAAACTGTGGTAAGAGAAGCCGTCATAAGGACTATTTTTACTGTATCACAATTGGAAGAGTAATGCGAAGTCAGGAAGATCTATGGGCCAGAGCAAGAGGCAGAGAGCACAGGTGTTAAGTTATTTTTGTGCTCAGCAGCATTAATAGAGTAATGTTGCCAGACTGAGGATCTGTAGCATGCTGTGCTGATACAAATTAACAGATTAATAGGGAAACCAGCTTCTCTGATACAAGGACCTGAGGTGACGGATTAGCTATTAAACACAATTTATAGATCATAAGAAATGGATGTTATAAGGAAGCACTACCTCAGCCAGCTCCATAAAGAGCCAAGCTGCATTTGTTTTCCCTGAAGTATTCTTTCAGGCAGCTTAATTATAATGTTAAGAACTACCAGAATTTAAAATATCATAATTTTTTTCACTCAGTGCTGTAGATGAACTTCTTGCAACAAACGAGACCACTTCAGGAGGTTGGTAATAGACTCAGGAAGATAAATTCATCACTATATGCTTAATAAAATCCTCCATGTAACAGCATCTAGCAGGAACTCTGAGTGGGGAACTCACATACGGGGCCAACAGGAGAGAGGTATTCGCACCTGCACTGGCACGAGCGTCACCACATTGCTGTGGGAGTACAAGGCCAGCACTAGCCGCGCACACGAGCCACGGACTCCTGGTGTGCTTGTAAGAACGCGCGCTTGGTAGCAAGGTGATGGGAGACTACAGCTTCATACCAGCGGGGTTTTGCATCAAGAAACAAAATTAGTGTTTTACACATCCGACAAAGACAGATTTTACAGTGGGATTTGCTTACACCTACAATTATGTAATTTCTCTAATAGAGAGGAGACTCTGCTGCCACAGAGCTGAGGCACAGGAGGGAGTTCTGAATACGAATTCTAGTTGCTCTCATCTTCCTGGGAGCATCAGCCAGCTTAGGTTTTTCAGCTGGTGAGTCTGATGTTAAACAGATGTGCATCACAGACTGACAACTAAAAGGGACCTGATGGCTGGCAGAGAAGTGTTCCTCAGGTATTTCACCCATACCAGAGAATGGCGATTTCCCAATTATGCTGCATGGAAACAATTCTTTGACTCATCGCACAGCCTCTTTTAAATGAGGACCCTGTGTGACAGCCTGTGTCCTGATATGGGTAAGGCAGAAACACTCCGCCGGGTACCTCACTGTAAGATAGCCTTAATCCCCACATGCACTCACCAACCAGAGATTAACCACAGAGGCCCAGATTTTACTGCCCAGGTGAGGAAAGAACTGGTGTGGATCAGGTGTTCGTGAAACTCAAGAGCCAGACTGCAGCCCTCAGGGGGGAGCCTTACTGAGCTCACAGTCTGGTCAGAGTAGGTGCTTCCAGGAGTCAAGTTTGGTTGTAGGTCAGCAGTGGCTGACCTTGGGAACAGCATGGCCTTTGTGCTGAAGTCCAAAGTCTTGACTAAGGCTTATTACACTCGTTTTGTACTGCAGCCTTTCAGACTGGTGAATCTAAACAGTCTTCTGGGTTTACAAGCACAGGAATGTGAACATATTATGCCCTCTGTTTGCAGCTAACACCAGCCTGTAAGGACACAAAGCCTTAACCATTTTCCATGGCACCTGTTTATCTCATTCCTCATAAGACAAGTTTGGGTCCTGAGGTAGAGGGGTACTGAAACATAGGCCAGAAGAGACACTGGGAATGTAGCCAGCTGAAGAAAAGAAGAGGTGAATTGACCTAATGCAGGCACAAAGCCAGTGTGGGTCACAAACCTTTCTGGGGCTCTGGGCAGTGCATCACACCAGGGTCCCCATTGTTACCTGCAAAACATTTCTGCCGTTAGCTCAACCTTCACAGCTTCATTCTGCTTCATTATTGCTCTTTGTGCAAGGAGGGAGAGAATAACCACCCCTGGATAAAATGGGAGCAGCTAAGTGCTTTGCACCACACTGCAGGCTTCCCAGGTGTCTCTACCTCTCGGCTCCGATCACAGTGTCTCAGCAGTGCCTTGTCTCACAGGACGCAGTGGAACGGTATCCCAAAAGATCCACCGCACGCATCTGTCACACCTGTACTCAAGACAGAGTCATCAGTACACAAGAACCAGTCTACTACTTCATATACGTGCTCTTGAACGAGTACAAAGGTTTTCTGGTTCGTTTCTGGTTAAGCTCATTTATCATTTACTCAGAATGCACTAGTATTTCACAATCAGCCTTAGGGATCTATTGATTTATGTACTAATGCAAATTTTACACCCAAATACAACAGATGTCATCCTCACTCAAAACTGCCCTTCCCTCCTCCCTCAAAGGTCAGGTTGAGGTGTCATCCAGCTTTTCCCTTTGTGTGGCACGCTTCTGAAAACAAGAAAGGAAGCAGGTGGCAATATTTTCCTCCTGTGCGTTATCTGTATGCAGAAAGAAGGAATAGCTTTGCTTTAAGGTAATTATTTCCTGAAAAAATACACTGTCAAATCCAATTTATCTGTAGAAGGTCTCAGTCTGTTACATACCACCTTCTATTACTTCTGTTTTCAATGAGTCTTGCTCTCTAAGAATCTGTATTTCATTCTTTATAACTGCAA